ACACGGGTTCCCGTATGATCACCGACTTTAAGCAATGTCGAGCCTGGTCAGTACTTAAATGGGTGACCGCTTGAGAATACCAATGCTGTAAACTTGGATGTGCAGGTGCTTAAATGGATAATGGCTCTGAATTTTTAATCAGGAATTACAACAATCCTCCTATTTTCACTCGAAAAAAAAAACAGGTCGTCTATTCAAACATGAGTAACCACTAAAATAACGTTTTGAGAAATAACGTTGGATTAAAAATAAAAATTATTACTTCCTTAGAAGTATGTAGGTTCTGTTTTCTGTGTGTGCGTATGTTTATACAACAATATATATTTAGAGTGTTTTAATGTACTACTGTAGATAGGTGTTGTATCTCGAATGTCCGAGATAACAGAATGAAAGAAATAAGAAAGACAAAATCGTAGATGAGTAGTGAAATAGAAGGTTTACTACACGAAGGCACGCTTAGCAACTGACTTAATGCTAACTTTACATAGACAATTGATTCCATTCATTTATGTCCTATATGACATCTATCTATCTCAGTCTGTTCATATCTATCTATCTATCTATCTATCTATCTATCTATCTATCTATCTATCTATCTACCTATCTATCTATCACAGTCTGTTCATATCTATCTATCTATCTACCTATCTATCTATCTATTACAGTCTGTTCATATCTATTTATTTACCTATCTATCTCAGTCTGTTCATATCTATCTGTTGTATCACGTGTTTTCGAGATAACGGAGAAAAATAAATAAGAAAGACAAACTTGAAGGTAAGTAATGAAATTAAAAGGTTCACTCGAAGGTACACTTAGCAACTGACCTAATGCTGACTCTGCTTAACGACGCTTATTTACATAAACGGACGATTCCATTCATTTATGTCCTATATAAAAATAGGACAATCTTTTATTTATTCATCTGATAAATTGGGCTTCTCCAAAATAAGACGATGAGCTTCAGCGTTTCACTTGCATTTTAAATAATATCGGATTTGAATTAGAAACCTTTCTTAATAAGGTTACTGTTTTTTATGGCGCCAAAACAATACGCGTATATTAGGCCGGTCATGAGAGTTAAAAGCTGTTTTTAATTAAGTTAATCAAACGCTGACTTCATGTCATATGTTTGTATCAGAAATTTTGATAAAAAAGCCTTAATACAACATGGATCATCTCAATAATTCATATACAATCCCTTATGTGCATAAACGGCGTTTTCGAATATACACACACGCACACATACACACACATTATATATATATATATATATATATATATATATATATATATATATATATATATGTTTTGCTTACTCGTATCGGGGTTTTTTTTTTTCTTTGGGCTTTGGACTTGCATGCTAGACGATTACTTTCGGCTAACGTACATGTTCTTATTTTTTTAATTTTTTCCCCTTTGATATTGGTTTGATTATTTGCAAATCAAGACACCGAAGGTTTTCCGGACGAGTATAATTTCTTATACCTATAAGATTATTACTACTACTACTACTAATATATATATATATATATATATATATATATATATATATATGATGGTTGCAACCTTGTCGATACTAATCATCGCAAGTTACCGCAACACTCAAATGTGACTTACGGTACCAATCAGTGTTTGTGCAAGCAAATTTTGAACGTGGAGAAAAATGTTGCAGTCATTGGATGATGTCAAGCCGCAGGTGTTACATCCGTGTTTTTCTTCACCTCGTTGGATACCTTAATGAAGGTTAATGTCTCCAACACTCCCATCAAGCTTGCCACGCGCCTGGGCACCAAGCCAAGAATTTCTACATCACTACGCCTGTGTTAGATGACTGTTGATCGCGTATCAGTTTTTGGTTTTTTAATCTTGCTTTAGTGAGACTTCAGCCTCTCCACTTTTACTGGCAGTAAAATTTGATTTCTTGATTTCGATCTATGAATGATTACGGTACTGGGATGTGCTGTAATGTCTAAACTCATTACAATCATTAATTTCCAAAACTCGGAAAATTTCAGGGGTTTTTTTTCTTCTAAAATTCATATGAAAACTTCCAGAGGCATTATTGATGAAAATAAGTACAAAAGAAAATCAAAAGTTTAGCATAATTAAAAACAAAATATAAGTTTACAATAGGAAAATAGATTTTGAAAGTTTTCTTATTCTTTTCTAAGGTATTTGCGGTTATTTCGCATTTGCGGGAAACGCATACACACACACACACACACACACACACACACACACACACACACACACACATATATATATATATATATATATATATATATATATTACCAATGTCTACCTATCCAATTTTTATGTTTTTCAAATTTCGAAATAAGTTGTTTTATACAATCGCTAAATTTTCAAAATTTAAATTAAAAAAAAAGACAGACCGTGTTCAACAAAGCTCGTTTAAAAGAATTCTTGTTGCCAAAATTTACCTTTCATAATTTCTACATTATCTCCAAACGTTTTATCACTTATCATATTAAGCATTTCCTCCTTAAACAATGCAAATTTGAAATATTATAAGATATCTTATAAAAACTACATAAAATCGCTCTTGTGTGTGTGTGTCTAAAATCACTCCCAAACTCTTGACGATCGGATACCAAATCTCCGAGTTTGGGAAGTTAAGTTGAACATTTAAATATATTGGCTGCTAATAATATTTAATCCCTTTATATTGAGCACTTTCATTGCAAAAACCTCTCGCCTTAAAAGCGTTATCCTCCAGAAATAATCTGCTCGATTGTTTTTTGTTTGTTTTTTTGACGAAACAGAATCCTTGTTATGATCATGATAGATAGATAGATAGATAGATAGATAGATAGATAGATAGATAGATAGATACGAACGAAAAGTGATAGATAGATAGATAGATAGATAGATAGATAGATAGATAGATAGATAGATAGATAGATAGATACGAACGAAAAGTGATAGATAGATAGATAGATAGATAGATAGATAGATAGATAGATAGATAGATAGATAGATGAAAACACTGTGGACATAGGAATCAACATTCCATGATGGCAGTCACTGTCCTGCTTTCACTTTATCTGACGGGCCGTATTAAACGTCAAAAATGTGTAAACTTTCTTTTCATTTTTTGTTTCAACCTTTGGAAGTAAAGTCTGATGATCGTCAGTCCTTTTAAAAGGGCTGTGGTGAAATAATTTATTACATGGAACCTTAAAGTGGTCTGTTTTTATTTTATATATATATATATATATAGGTAAGATGAGAACGAATAGAGTACAATTCCAACGTTCGTAAAACTTAATTTAATAGAGGGCTCAATAGAAAATAGACTAATTTTCTTTATTTTAGGATATTACAACAAGAACATGATTGCAATTGTGTAGCGATTTTGACGTTTTTCGATGTAATATCCTAATATATATACGGTAATATTGTTTTTTGGGGGTTTTTTTTTTCTATTTGTGAGGGTGGCTGCTATGATACATTGTTTGAAATCCTTTTCGAATTCTGTGTGGTCAAATTTATGGTTTTTGGTCAAGGTGGTAAAAGCGTCCCCTTTTCTCAATCCAATTGCAAATTTTAAGCCGAGACTCAAAGCCCCCAGATTCGTAATAGAAAACTTAACTCTATAACTGTTGTTAACAAGGTTCGAAATATAAAATGGTTTGTTTCAGGTTTTCAGCTCTGGAGTTGGAAAGAATGTTTTTACTCCGTATCGTTTTGCCGATCCACGCAGCCTTATCATGATGTTTGAGTCCTATTGCGTATGTAAGGTGGTAGTCGTGGATGTACGATGGTAGATCAAAAGTTATCTGCTTTTTCGCCATAACAGTACCTGTGGGGATCTAAGAGGCTACTGTCTCCTTTTCGTTGGGATAGTCACGTGACAGCCGATGAGTGACGTCGAGGGATAGAGTGACGAAGCGAGTTGCGATGTAGAGCCTGTACAAGAAGGGCGTGCATGGCCCTCAACGGTTTCTCTATGAACCAGATGAGGTCATATATTTCTTCTTTTTTTTTTCTGTAAGACCTACTCCGTCGACGTCACCCACTGGCTGTCACGTGACCCTTGTGACTATCCCAAAGAAAAGGAGACAATCGCCTTTTGTATAGCTTCAACATAAGAGTACGGATAATTTTTGATTTTCCCTCGGATTTCGGGAAAATATCTGTTGTGGTCGTGAGTAGTTTATAATTGCTTTTGGGGATGACTTACTTAGCAATGCAGTTGAGTAGGAAATGATTTCTGCTTCTTGTGGGAATAACCTGATAATAGGAATGTTTTTGCATAGATAGATAGAATACTGATGTCTTTTTGAAGTCGATTTGGGATCAAATACAAATCAAATATAGATCGAAATTCAACAATGATACTATAAGGAGCAGATAGGAAATGTTTACAGGGCTGCATCGATCGCAAAAACGCTATTGAAAACAATCTTTCCAACAGCAGAGCCGAAAGCTTGAGACAAACCAATTCATACAAAAATATTAAGTAAATAAATCAAAGCACAAGCCTCAAAACATTTACAAGCCCAGTAGATGGAGACATCCTTACCATCTTAATCATAGCAGCAAGACATATATATATATATATATATATATATATATATATGTGTGTGTGTGTGTGTGTGTGTGTGTGTGTGTGTTGTCAACAAAGATATATATATATATATCCTTGTTGACAACACAACTATAGTTAAAAATAAACAAATTTAAAAATTCTTGAATCTTTATACATAAAACAGTTGAAACCTAACCTGAACAAAATAATCTATGAAATCTCCACAAATATCTTTAAATGCCTATAATTTATAACAGAAGCTATTGGTTTATACCAACGGCTTCCCATTCTTAATACTTAATACTTCTCGCTTTTCACTCTCGCCTGGTCATGTGTGACGTCACGAGCTGCGACGCGATTTTCGCTTCCGCGTCTCGTATATACGAGTTTGTCGTTACTTCGAAATTTTTCATGCAGCAAGGGCGGACTATCATTGTTGTTTCGTCCGTGTTTTGTTTGATATATTGAAATTGTCATCTGTGATAATGGCTTGTGTAAGCCGAAAGCTTAGATTGGATTTAAACATGTATCAATA